TTGTTCTTTCTGCCCTTTGGGATGGTTTGTTCCTGCACCCTCAATAAGGCTTCTTTAAAATACAGCCAGCTCTTCTGGGCTCCTTTCCCCCCTCAGATTAGCCTCCCAGGGTTTCCTGCCCATCTATTCCCTGAGGGAATCAGTCTGCTTTTCTGAAGTCCAAGGTCCGTAGTACTTTCACCTACACAGCAATCTATTTGAACAGTTCCAATCTGGATCTCACATTGGGTACAGTTTTACTTAAGTTCAAAAGTATCTTTGATTGAATATTGATTAAATGAAAATGCTGGTTTTGATTTGGAGGTTTTTTGTTTTTTAAATAAACTGTGGATACTCCTAAAGAGACTAAAGGACGTGAGCTTTTATTATTCCTAGTCTTACTGCCATTTGGAGCACAAAATTGTACCTTATTATCAGTAGGTCCACAGGAATCCACATTTAATGGTCCCTTGTTCTTTGCTGGCTTCCTTTATGAATTTGATTGGAAAGTACTATCAGAGATGTCCTTGCTAAACTGATTTTAGTCAGCTGCAGTAGTGATTCACTTATGTTATACCATTGTTTACTTTTGTGCTGTCCTACTAATAATCTGATATTGGAGGATGGGTAGCTTCAAATTAATTCAGTCTAAATTAGGGTGACCAGATCACCCAAGTCAAATATCGGGGCGCAGGGCAAAAAAACAAAAAACAAAAAAAACACCCTTCCTCCACAAGCGCTGGAGGGAGGCCGGGGAGACGCAGGGGGAGCGCAGGGCCAGGGTGAGTGAGAGTCCGGCCTGGCCCCGAGCAGGCAGGACTCAGTTGGGCGGTAGGGAGAGTAGGGGGTCGGCCCACGGGGCCAGGCGGCGGCGGCTGTTCTCCCCCCCGGGCAGCGGGACTCGGGAGCAGCCGCTGCTGCAGCTTCCGTTGCTGCGGGGGGAGGAAGCAGCCGATGGCCAAGCTGGGCGGCTGCAGCTCTGGCGCCCCCGAGCCCGGGCCTGCTGCGGGAACCCAGCAGCGTGCACGCTGTGCCCAGCCCCTGGCCAGTCGCGTCTGGTCTGCTGCCCAGCTGGTGCTATCCCGCGGTGGCCCCGGAGTGGGGGCAGCAGGCCCCAGCCCCCCCGTCCCGCTCGGGTCCCGCAGGGGAACAGGCTCGGGGGGTTCGGGCCCGGGTGCCAGAGCCGCAGCCACCGAGCTTGGCCATCGGCCGCTTCCTCCCCCCGCGGCAGTGGGAGCTGCAGCAGTTGCTGCTCCCGAGTCCCGCTGCCTGGGGGGGGGAGAACAGCTGCCGCCTGGCCCCGCGGGCCGCCCCCCTATTCTCCCTACCGCCCGACTGAGTCCTGCCTGCACTGGGGCCAGGCCGGACTCTCATTCACCCCGGCGCCGCGCTTCCCCTGCGTCTCCCCGGCCTCCTTCCAGCGCTTGTGGAGGAAGGAGGAATGGTGAGCCTGGGGAAGAGGCGGGGATTCGGGGAGGGAGCCAATGGGGGGAGGAGGGGGCGGAGTTGGGGCGCGAGCACTTCCAGGCTCCGGAGCATTTCCTTGTTTGTCCAGTGTCCCGACCGCACATCGGTCGGGACGCGGGACAAACAAGGAAATATCGGGACAGTCCCGATAAAATCGGGACGTCTGGTCACCCTAGTCTAAATACAGATAAAGCAGAGATTTTTGACTTGTGTTAACACTAGTGGGTTGCTTCTGGTCTGATGAGTCTCTTGAGCTACAGGGAGCTAGTTTAAACAAAATCTGTCAACAAACTTCATAATATATATATTGTGGCCCAGCCTCTACCTTGTCAGGTAAAAGTGAGAAGGCTGTGGAAAAAGTAGTTAGGATTAGGTCTTGTAGTCTTGGACAGTTGTAAAAAAAACAAAAATACCAAAAAAACCAACAAAATAAAACCAGAACAATTTCCTGACTGTTAGAAGATTTTAAATAAAAAGCGTATGCCATGAAGGTAAGTGTCTGGGATACCTTGACAATGTGTGGTGAAGGGTTACACCCCTTCACTTTGCTACCTTACAGTTGAGGGAGCCATGACCCTGTTTCTTGTATTCTTCCTCCTCCTCCTCCACCACCCCCCCCATTTTGCAAAATACTAAGCGCCCTCAACTCCCATTAATATCCAGACTTAAGTTAATAAAAGTCAAATGAACTCAATGCTTTGCAGGACCAGGCCTCCTGAATATAATGGCTGTGTCATTCTGATGTTGCTTACAGGTTTGGCAAGGTTTGGGCCAGGTCTCCATGTGCTGCCCATACAAATCAGCCAACAGAGCTGAGCTGGCACTGGAGGGAATGCATGCTACTCTCGAAGAATTCCAACAAAAACAGCCAGTATACTTCCAGTGATTCAGGTTTGGATGTCAAAAGGAGATGAGGACGCTTAGTAGGATTAGACTCAGTCTAATGATTTGCACAGGCAGCAGCCATGTCCTAAGGCACAAAGGGAGGTGGGAGTCTTTCTTGTGAATCTGTTTCCTCTGTTCTCAACTGACCTAAATGTTCTGGGTTTTAATGATGATTTTAAATTTGTAATCTGGTTGTGTAAAGTCAGTGATCAACTTGCTCCAGTCGCATTGAAATAGGGTCGATGCTGATACTATATACAAATTGCCTGAGAAAGCATCAACCTCTATCCAATCATAATGAACTTTACATGCCTGTTTTTCTCTCTTCCGTTTTGGATTGCTGCAACTCTCTGCTGTGGTACATCTGTGCCATACAAACTTGCTCCTGAACTTTGCCACATATAATGCCTACTCTCATTGTTTGTTTTGTTTTCTGAGGGTGGTTTTAGTATTTGTTTCCCCTAGCCTGTAAAGCTGTTAGCTTTGGAATACATTTTTGAACGGCTTTATCTAGGCCATGTCAACACTAGTGAGCTCACAGCGGCACAGCTGTGCTGATGCAGCTGCACTGTTGTAAGATTGCTCGTGTAGCCGCTCTGTGCTGAGAGGAAAGAGCTCTCCCGTTGACATAAACGAGTGGCGGTAGCAATGTCGGTGGGAGGGTGTGTCTCTTGCCGACAGCACTGGCCACACTGGTGCTTCTGTTGGTGTAACTTATGTCACTCAGAGGGATGTTTTTTTCCACACCCCTGAGCGACATAAATTATACCGACAAAAGTGCTAGTAAAGAAATAGCCTTATACAGAGTAAATAGTCCTTTGTCAACTTCTGCTTGTTTAGCAATGTTCAGTACACCAAACAGTTCTAGTTTTAAAACATTACATCTTTAGATTCTCTTGCTGATAATGGGTAGAAATAATAAATTCATTTAATTAAAAATTAAACACACTTTGATATTAAAACCTTTTTACTATTTAATTAGTTTGTATGTACTATCAGAGGGGTAGCCGTGTTAGTCTGGATCTGTAAAAAGCAACAAAGAGTCCCGTGGCACCTTATAGACTAACAGAAGTATTGAAGCATGAGCTTTTGTGGGTGAATACCCACTTCATCAGACAAAGTGGGTATTCACCCACAAAAGCTCATGCTCCAATACTTCTGTTAGTCTATAAGGTGCTACAGGACTCTTTGTATGTACTATGTTCCTCTAGAACAGTTTGCTTCACTCTGCGATGTTGGTTTTGCCTAGAACTGTTAATATAGTACCATGCTTCAGAAAAATTCCACTTGAGACAATCTCCTTGAGAAAATCTTATGTGATTGCTGGTATAATTTGCTTCTGCATAATTGCCTGTACTTTTAAGTAGTGCGGTTGAGTTAATAATGCTTCCAAAACAAATACTGACTGAAGATATCCAACAATTTGTAGGAGTCAGTGGCATCCACCCAACAACGATCTCCTGGTCAATTTATTGGCCTCTTACAGTTGGTATGGCTACTCCCACCTTTTCATGTTCTCTGTATGTATAAATATCTTCTTTCTGTGTGTTCCATTCTAAGCATCCGAAGAAGTGGGCTGTAGCCCCCGAAAGCTTATGCTCAAATAAAATTGTTAGTCTCTAAGGTGCCACAAGTACTCCTGTTCTTTTTGTGTGGCCTAGTGAGCCCAGACGTGCTGGTTGATGGGTGGCTTGCTCTCAGAGAGATGCCATTCACCTATTGGCTGTGTGATTCTGGTTTTCCCCTGGGCTGCCCCAGTAATAACATTCCTGTTAGAAAGCAAAAATATATTGTTATGCAACCGTTTTTATTAATAGGTTAACACCAGCAGGCAGAGACCCTGGAATAATGATGCAGATGTGAGCCCAGTAAATAAAATAACCAACTGCTACTGCAAGAATGTGCAGAGACAGCTTGCCTCCTCCTATTGGTGCTGTGGCAGTTTCATTTCCCTCAGGGGCAAGAAGCACAGGCATGCCCCTAAACATCTTCTGAGAGTTACTTCGTGATACGGGGTCTTTGCCATCTGAGAGGAGTTACTCCTAGGGGCTATATGCAGGTATGCTGAGGTACACCTACTTACCCAGCCTGCTTAGTAACTCTGTTATGTTATTCTTCTCTGTATCCTTTTTGAATATTGGTTTGATTCAGTTAGGTCACAAAAAGATAGATGGATTTAGCAATTTCTTGTCCTCCTACCTTAACAACATGCAGCAGTGTGTTTTTTCTGTGATAATGACATGAATGAGAGAATTTACCTAATCAGTTGGATTATATTGTATACAATATTATTTGAAGGAAAAATCTAAAGATTTATTACAGGTAAGCTGGCATGATTTGGCAGTCGGGTTATGCAACACCACTTGGGAAATGATTTGTTTATAAATCAATTTAAGGTTAGTCCACAAACTCATAGCAGATACTAGCCTAAATTAGGGGTTAACAAAAAAAAACAATTGGACACGTTCTGCAAATGTGTACTTGGAATTCTCTATTCAGTTTTCTGTCTTTTGGCAGGGTTTGGGAAATGAAGGAGCTTATCATAGAGAGCACAGGCTCTTATAAGCTATAGCTTGTTTGTTAGCTGGAGGGGAAGATGGATGGTGGGATGCTGCCAAGAACACTTATTTTACATAAATAGAATAACCATTTTAAATATTTGTTCACAGTAGCAGATCAGGCATTTGTGACCCTTGGTACAGATGATGTTTATTGCCAAGGAGCTCTGGTTCTTGGACAGTCCTTGAGGAATCACATGACATCTAGAAAGCTGGCCATACTAATTACACCACAGGTCTCCAGTGTCATGAGGTAAGAATTCACAAATTCTCAGCTGTAGTAAATGTGAAAAATAATCAGTTGCAAACTGGACTTCTGTTGAATTTCTTGCCATAACATAGCTACAAATAAACCTACTGTGTTTTTATTTTTAACTCATACCTTAGCTTCTTGCTGTTCAGAGAAACTAAACCCAAGGTTTTCAACAGTGAATAGTGATTTTTGTGTTTCTCAATCTTTTATTTCCACCACACACAAAAAAGCGGGGCGGGGGGGGGAAGGGGGCAGCATACCCTCCTGAAAATTAGGCTTCTTTAAGATGTCCCAGGTTGGGCACCTAAAATTACTAATCACTTGAAAATATTGCCCTAAGTCTCTGGTAGTGGAACATAAATAGTTTTTTGTTTTGTTAAAACAAACAAAAAACAACCAACACATGTTACCACTTAGTCTGATTCCACAGCCATTCTATGTGCAGAATTCTCATTTGATCGGTTCACATCTAATAAATTAGTTTGGTCAGTGCTGGACAGCAATACGCTGGGAGACCCAGTTACTGCAGGACATGATGCAGGTAAATCAGTAGATGGTAATCTTCGCTCTTACCACTGAACCAGTGCTGCAGTATACTGCTGAAGATCCCATTACATCTTTTGAATGGGATGTAAAACAGAATACCACAGACTTCAATTGTTACATCTGCTTATATTGGGTCTGAGTTTGGCTTTGTGTGCAGTTTGGGAACTGTGCACATTGCTGATTCTGAATGCGGTGTGGTGGTGGTTGTAAAGCATGGGGCAATGTTTCCTTTTTTTTTTTTTTTTTTTTTTTTTGCTGCAGGTTAGATGCACTGTCAAGTCTTATGTTTCCAGGATTTTTACACGCAGGTCAAATCTGAACAGTATACTATCCCTGAATAAGACTCTAAGATATTGATAATATGAATTTTAGAGCAGGATCGAATTTTTTAATCTAATGAATTGTTTTTTTTGTTGAATATTTTTCAAAAAATGTCAATTTTCTTCCATTAATTGATGAGAATAATATTTTCAAAAGGACCTAAATGACTTGGGAGCCTAAATCTCAAAGTTTTATAGGACTTTTTGAAAATTTTATCCCACATTAAAAGAAAAAACCCTCACGAAACCAAATCTTAACTCTCCCCTTCCCCCATCATATTTTGGTGATTAATGACGGATTCTGAGAGCCAGTTAGTCCTTAAATTATAAGCTGCAGAGTGCAGGGCTTGTGTCTTCCTCTCTTTGGACAACACATAGGATATTGTAAGTAATCTTTTTAAGGTAATTTATTTGTGTTATAGTATCATTTTTTCCTGTTCTAGGCTTGTAAATGTTGATGATTATCATCAATTTCAGTATTGTCTAGGAAGGTTCTGTGAGTGATTATGAAGACACACACCCCACTGAAATTCTTTTGAGAGGGCTTGAAACAATAGTAATATATCTATATCTCACATATTTTAAACATGTATAACTGAGGATAAATTTACTTTGACAGGCACAGGGAGGTGCAAATAGCTGTACCAGCAAGGCCTGCTACACCCTGGGGAGGGACCATGCACTGCAGAAGTGGCCGGTGGTGGTGGTTCTGCATGGGTATGCAATGAGAGGACAGCTCTACTGTCCACTTGGCAAATGTTATAATAGGGGTGCACTGAAAATGTGAGAGTCCTAGTCACACCACCTCTCCAGCCAGAACCAATCACTTCTTGAGATGCACTGGCCCTTAGTAGAAGGGAGGTTGCAATTTGTGCCCCTATAGTTACTTCCAGGGCAGACTTCTTGTTTATAAGGACCGTGTATCTTAGTTTGACCTCTAGTGGTTTTTTTTGTTTGTTTTTTGTTTTTTTGTTCTTGTTTTGTTTTAAATCAGAACTGAGTGTCATTGTGGGGCCAGTTATCTCCGTGCCAGAATTTTTGCACTATGTTTAACTGAAGAAATGTTTCTAAATTTTATTGTTCCTGTATGTTGCTTGCTTTGTCAGGGCTGTCCTCTGCAGTGTGTTTGATGAAGTGATTGAAGTGGATGCAATTGACAGTGCTGACTCGATGCACTTGGCTCTGCTGGAGAGGCCAGAGCTGGGTGTAACCTTCACCAAACTTCACTGTTGGACTCTCACTCAGTATAGCAAATGTGTCTTTATGGATGCAGACACTTTGGTGAGTAGAGAATGATAATCACGTTGTTAGGATTCTGAGTGATGTTAAAGAAAGCTGGGTAGGTTCTGCTAGACAAATCCAGACTGGTACCCATCAGAGTAAGGTGGCCCAAAGATCAAAAGAGTTTCTATGGAAATAGTCACCCGTTTAATTAGCTGTCCAGTACAAATTATGGCCATGATCGCATTGGCCATCCTCTACACATAAGCAGTTCATTTTGCAGGATTAGTTGGGCCAGGTCATTGTTTATATTAGAAAGTTAAGTAGTTGAACATTTGTCTGAGTCTGAAAAACATTTTTATGAGCTGTGATCCTGTACTATGTGTTGTATTTACCAAAAAAGGGAGAGATTCAGGGGAAGTGGGTTTTTTATTGAATCTTTCCTTTTTGTGGTAAAGAAATGTATTTATTCACTATTTTATTTCTGATTTATAGTTTTATATAAAAGAGTACCTGTCCCACGCAATAGGCTTCTCTTAACCATTAAAAATTCAGGCCAGATCCTCAGCTAATGTATTATAGCATTTCTCCATTGATTTTTGAAGGAGCAATGCAGAATTTCATCAGCAGAGGATCTGGTCCTCAATGTTGTAGTATAAACGGAGCAGTCTTTCCTGTTCCCTTCAAGCTTAAAAGAAGGAAACCAGCAAACATACCAGGCAAACAAGTCCAAAAATAAACCCAAACAATATTAAAAAACAAACAAACTAGTGCTCCACTCAGCTGTCCCCAGAGTCAGTGCCAACCCAGATCTTTCAGACACAGCTTTCACCAGCCCTTATTACACTTGTTCAAACAGATGGGCTCTGCAGCATGCCCAGAAGGACCCATTCTGTCTCTTTCTCTCTGTCTGTCTCTCTCGATATAGGTATCTATAAAAATGTACCAGCAAGGCCTGCTTATATCCTGGGGTGTAAAAGTGTTATTCTCCTTGTTGCACTAGAATATTTTGAGGGACTTGCCGTTTAAACCTGGTGATCATATTGTAATTTCATTATGGTCACTGTTTTGCCTTAGAACTTAAGAAAAGCTATAAATATTGTTACCTTATCAACTAACAAATGAAAGTTCTGATCGTCAGCCTCCTTTGTACTGTCACTGTTTAATGTGCTCTAAATACTTAGAGCTTCCATGACAAGGATAGTAATTTAATCCATCAGTTTTGATTTAGTTGTCCAGATGTTAAAGGCAACACAGTGCTCATAAACTGTTGCTTTAAAATTTTAAATTTGAGTCTAACTCTTTTTTTTTCTTTCTTTCTTTCTTTCTTTTTCTTCAAGGTGTTATGTAACATTGATGAACTGTTTGAACGGGAAGAGCTTTCAGCAGCTCCTGATTCTGGCTGGCCAGATTGCTTTAATAGTGGCGTATTTGTCTTTCGTCCTTCTGTAGAAACTTATAACCGTCTGCTGCAGTTTGCTACTGAACATGGCAGCTTTGATGGTAAGTCTTTGAGAGAACATAGTGCAAGAAATTACCCTTACCCTCAACAAGCCAATTCTCCACAACTGTAAAGGGCTGAGTGTCCTACTTAGCAGAGCAGAGGGAGGAAATGACAATACTCAAGGTTTAATCTCTCAAAAAAACCTAGGGGGCAGATCCTCAGCTGATGTAAATTGTCATAGCTCCAGTTTACACTAGTTGAGGATCTAACCCTATAACTCTTGATCAGATAAGATGGACAGGGGTTACCTGAATCTCTCTGCCTCACTACTCATTATTTCATTTAAAGCTTATGTTAAAAAATATTCTTTCCTTTGTCTATATCTATAAGTGGAAACCGACAAATTGCTAAGTATGAATACAAAATAATAACACAAGCATGTAGGGAGAAAATCAGAAAGATTAAGGCACACAATGAGTTACACCTAGCAAGGGACATCAAAGGCAATAAGAAGAGGGCCTATAAATACATTAGGAACAAGAGAAAGATGAAGGAAAGTGTAGGCTCTGTGTTTATTGGAGAAGGAGAGCTAATAACAGATGACATCAAGATGGCTGAGGTGTTTGTCTATTTTACTTCAGTCTTCTCTAAAAAGGTAAATTGTTACTAGATACTTATCACAGTTAATATTAACAACAAGAGGGAAGGAATACAAGCCAAAATTGGGGGGGAAAAACAAGCTGAAGAATATTTAGATAGGTTAGATGTATTCAAGTCAGCATGGCCTGATGAAATTCACCCTAAAGTGCTTCAGTCACTTCCTTAAGTAATCTCGGAACCATTGGTGATTATCTTTGAGAACTCATAGAGCAGTGTTTCTCAAACTGGGGTCGCCACTTGTGTAGGGAAAGCCCCTGGTGGGCCGGGGCTGTTTGTTTACCTGCTCCGTCCGCAGGTTTGGCTGATCGCGGCTCCCACTGGCCGCGGTTTGCCACTGCAAGCCAATGGGGGCTGCTGGAAGCGGCAGCCAGTAAGTCCCTCGGCCCACACCGCTTCCAGCAGCTCCCATTGGCCTGGAGCAGAAAACCATGGCCAGTTGGAGCCGTGATCGGCTGGACCTGCGGATGCGGCAGGTAAACAAACCGGCCTGCCAGGGGCTTTCCCTACACAAGTGGTGACCCCAGTTTGAGAAACACTGTCATAAAGGGTGGGTTAAGCACCAGTGGACTGGAGAAAAGCAAACATAGTACCTATCTTTAAAAAGGGGAACAAAGAGAATCCAGGAATTCTAGATCAGTCAGCCTAACTTGGATACCTGAAAAAATACTGGAACAAATTATTGCACAATCAATTTGTAAGCACCTAAAGGTTCATAGGGCTATAAGGAATAGCCAGCATGGATTATGCCAAATCAATCTAATTTTCCTTTTTTGACTTTGTTACTGGCATTGTGGGTAAGAGGAAAGCTGTAGACGTGATATAGCTTGATTTTTTTGTTAGGCTTTTGAGGCTGTCCCACATCTTATTTGCAAAAGCAAACTAGGAAAATGTGGTCTTCTAGATGATATGGTCTATAAGAAGGGTGGAAAACTGGTTGAAAGACTGTACTCAGAGTTATTATCAGTGGTTTGCAGTTAAATTGGGAGTAGGTCTCTAGTAGGGTCCCACAGGGGTAGTAGTCAATATTTTCAGTAATGACTTGGATTATGGAATGGAGAGCATACTTATAAAATTTGTGGATGACACCAGACTGGGAAGGGTTGCAAACTTGGAGGACAAGATTAGAATTCAAATTGACCTTGAAAAAATGGAGAACAGGTCTGAAATCATCAAGATGAAATTCAATAAAGACAAGTGCAAAGTGCTATGCTTGGAGAGGCATAATCAAATGCACATTGGTTATGAATCAGCAGTGTCATGCAATAGTGAAAGGCTCAGAACTTTATGGGATGTATTAACAGGAGTGTCCTATATAAAACATGGGAGGTAATTGTCCAATTCTACTCTGCACTGGTGAGGCCTCAGCTGAAGTACTCTGTCCAGTTCAGGAGGCCACACTTTAAGAAAGATGTGAACAATTCGGAGAGAGTCCAGAGGAGAATGAAACAAATGATAAAATGTTCAGAAAACCTGGCCAATGAGGAAAAGATTTAAAAAAAAGAAAAGAAATGGACATATTTAGTCTTGAGAAAAGAAGACTGAGGGTGGATCTGATAAGTCTTCAAATATGCGAAGGGCTGTTACAAAGACTATGGTGAGCAAATGCTGAAGGTAGGAGAAGTAGCAATTGGCTTAATCCGCAGCAGGGGAGATTTATGTTGGATATTAAGGAAAACTTTCAAGGATAGATAAGCTCTGGAATAGACTTCCAGGGGAGGCTGTGGAATCCCCATCACTGGCAGTTCTTAAGAATAGGCTGGACAAACACCTCTCGCGGTGGGCTAGGGTTACTTTGTCTTGCCTACGTGCACAGGGGTGGACTGGGTAGCCTCTCAAGATCCCTTCCAGCCCAGCATTTCTATGATTCTGTGATTCTATGAACTCTTAATTTCTGTTTCCTTCCATTCTTTATTATTTGATTTAATAAGTGTATTATTTATTTCTCACGCTATCAAATTCATGCTGTATAATTATATTTTGTATTTATATTAACTTTCAGTATATTAGCCAGTAGGGCCCTAATTCTGCAAACAGTTACACACTGGCATCACGCTGTTGCTTTTGTTACCTCATCTTCCCACCCACCATCACCTCGGTTGTCTCTTTTGTCTACTTGCTGCTGCTTACAGGCAATTTTTACCCAATTTGAAGATTTTTGCAGTTTCTTCTCATACCCAAACCGGCTTTTGAAAGCAAGACAGACTGAATATTCATATAACTTCCTCCTTGGAGTCTAAAAGATTAAGCTAAAATACTGTGGGGGACACAGATTTACCTCATGATTGTGGGCTGGATTGTATTTTTGTTGTACGGCTGTGCGGCTGCAGGAACAGTACAGGGAAGGGATATTGGCTGTTGCTTAGATCCGCTCCACTGTGGAGGAGGTGGAGCCCAGTCTCCAACCATGTGTTCAGGGAGGAGCAAGAAATGGGTGCATAGCACCCACGTACCCTGCACGCCCAGGTTCATGGTCCAGGAAGACTGCACATGATTGTAAACCTGTGTGGGTTTATGGCTCAAATCACTCAAATTTTAGACCAAAGAGTCTCCGTTGAACTCATTTTTTCTTTTTTCAGTACTGAATTTTCTCTTGGCATTGTAGTTTACATGAACATTTTGTTGATACTGCTTATAATTTTATTTATTCTCTAGGTGGTGATCAAGGCTTACTAAATAGTTTCTTCAGTAACTGGGCAACAACAGATATTGGCAAACATTTACCATTTATCTACAACTTAAGCAGTAGTGCTATCTACACGTATGTTCCTGCTTTCAAACAGTAAGTAGTATTACTGGTGGATGATTGCAATTCTATAGAGCCCTTTAATATATTTTGCCCATTTATAAGAGAAAAGGATAGTGACCCATTCTGAAACTTGATTATAAGTTAGTCTAACACAATAGTCCACAATGTGAAGTCATGTGACAAGAAGTTGGAATACAGTAATGCAGAGCCTTTAGCATCTGCTCTGATACAGAATACCAAGATTTCTCAACACTTAGTATTGTTAAATAGCTCTTGTAATAGAGAACAAAAGTAAAAGTTGAAACAGTATTACTTAAATTGATATATCTTGGTTGATATGTCACTTCAGTGACACTTTCCTTATATTCTACAGACCACAGATTACCTAATGGCACAGTTCTGATATTCTTACTGCAAAAGTAGCCCCATTGATTTTCATTAAAGTTTCTCACAGTGTAAGGGTATTGAAATCTGTCCATAAGATTCTTCCTTGAAGCAAAATTGGTGCTAGCAATTATTATATGATTTCAAATGCTCTTCTTTTTTTCTCCTTAATAAACTTTTGTAGTACACTGTTATAAGCATGACTATATGAAATTTTTTCAAAAATGGGTCATGAATGATCCATTAGTGTGAATTACGATGAACTTCGTGTGAAACTTTCATTGGATAACTTAAATACTGGAACCACAATAATCAAGAATTTTGCTGCTTTGATATTCAGTAAAGTGATTTTTATTAGTTTGGAGGGGAATGTGCAAGAAGAGATATGAAATTTAATCTTTCAGTTTCCTTCATGAACTATTTCCATTGGAATCAGCAGTAGGAAACAAGTGACAATGCAGTCTTTTATTTCCTTTCTTTCAAGCAAAGCAATTCAGATTAATAAAATAAAATTTAATTCAATAGCTTTCAATTATTCTGCATAACTGAGATCACATCTGGTGATAGTTACATTAATAAGAGGTCAATGATTGTCACGAGTAGTTGTTGCAAGATGTCACACCTGCCATAGCACCAAGAATACACATTTCTTCTGAAATGCCAATCAGAATGTATTCATTCCTATACCACAACTTTGTATTTCTTTCCTCCACAGTTTTGGCAGAGATGCAAAGGTAGTTCATTTTTTGGGGTCAGCAAAGCCCTGGCACTACAAGTACAACCCTCAAACAAGAACAATTATGCAGGATGGCTCCACGTCAGGATCTCAGCATCAGTTCTCATATCTTGTACTCTGGTGGAAGATATACTATGCTAGCATATTGCCTTTGTTAGAAAAACTTCCAGAGATGGAAGACATGGAATCCCAGGGACAAAAGGTAAAGTGGTATCTTGGAAAGGAGACTAACGGGAATATGCCAAAATCAAAACACCAAAAAAAATTCAATAAATAAAAATAAATTACCATCTTGACTTCTTTTTTAGCATGGGGAGATGAGTGAGATGGGAAAGCACGATGGCTTTTGAATGGCAATAAATCTGCAGTGACTTTTTTTTTTTTTTTTTAAATGCAGATGCTGGCTAGAGATGGATGTGATAAGCTAATACTTTGTACAGAGGTATAGTTATTATTATTAGTGCTCCAAAGATTTTTTCCTTTGTATTAAAAGTAAAGACAATTGATTAATAATGTTTGTAAACTGACACTTAAACCTTCCCAAAAAGCCTGGCAGCCATATTTTCGGCTGGTGTAAATCAGCATTGCTCTACTGTCTTTGATTGAGCTAAGCTGATTTACATCAGCTGAAGACCTGGCTTCGGAATACCGTCACTTTACCTTTTCAGAACTGCATTGTAACTGTTCGTATGAGGGTCATAGCTTCTCAACTTATTGAATAAAGTTGCCCTGAAAAAAGGTCTGAATGTTTATGTTGAGGAAAGAGTTTGCTATAGCTTTACAGCGGAAAGCATGCTGTAAAGCTATAGCAGTTTGACACCTCAATTTTAATTTAAAAGTAAAACTTTAAAAAAAATTAGTTTCTCATCAAGAAATATACTCTTAATTTGCATATTTAAAGTGGCTAGAGTAGACTTGCATCTGAAGAAGTGAGGTTTTTACCCACGAAAGCTTATGCCCAAATAAATCTGTTAGTCTTTAAGGTGCCACCAGACTCCTTGTTGTTTTTGTAGAGTAGACTAGTTGCTGATCAGTAGATTAGATTGTGGTTTCAAAAGAGATAAAGCAGCAAGTAGAAGTAGTGGGGGCAGAGAATACTTTGATTTTGATACACACATTATTAATTGCATCTCCTTGATACATGTAAATGGATTTTCACAACTGTGTTTAGAATTGGATGATGATAATCATAAAAACTTCAACAGGCCCATAAAATCAGTTGGATTGTTGCCACTGATGTGAAGAGAATCGGTTTGTAAAACCTTTCTTATGCCTAGCAAACTGGGAAGGAGAAGTGGGGAAGGGGAGCTGCAGGTTATGGATATTTGCAATTTTTGTTTGCCTAACTTTTGTCCCTCCAATACTTGGTACAATAAAGAAACAATAGAACTAAGTTAGTATGGAAATTGAATAATTTCTTCTCAGTGGACAGGGGTGGCTTTAAGGTTTGTATTAAGGGCCTGATCCATCTCCTACTGAAATCTATGGGAGTCTTTCCATTGATTTTAATGGGTGTTGGATTGGCTACAAAGTTTGGGTAGGAGACTTGCACTGAAACCTATGCCCCAGTCTGGGGATAAAAGAAACCCCTTCAGATTCTGTAGCTCTTTATTCCTTAACTTCTATAGGGCCTGTGACAATCAACAAGAAAATACCACAGTAGAACCTTGTGTCATGAAGAAAGTGTAAATATTTTTTATAATTTGTTAAATCACACGTACCATAAAACAGTTTGTTGCAAAATTCTTCTTATAGTGATGTGATTTGTTTTTTCTAGCACATTTTCAATGGAGATGAAATTAGACTGAAAAATGAGAATCCTCTTATCAATTCTCTGCAAATCCCTGTGTTTCCAGAACAGACATCTGAAATAGACAACACTACTTGCCCACCTGAAGAGTTTGATACTAAAACTGTAAATACAAGTTTTTTTATTTCTTGTGAATATCTATGTATATTTTACATATTGGGCACTACCAGTGATGGACATGTTTAGGATGACACACACATAAGCCTCTAAACAGAATTTAATTTAAGCATTTGATCTTGATAAAGTCCTCCTCAATTTAGTTGTAGTGCTTGAATTCGGAAATGAATTCAAGTCTCATCATGAAAATTTATTGTCTTTAATCTTCAGTCAAGAATGGTTCTGATGTATCTGGAGGTTAAAAAATTTGTATTGAACATTGTCAAGAGAATATTGATTGACAAGTTAGTGGGTGCTAAATAAATCCTAGGGAAATTCTACTGCCAAGTTAACCTTATTGAATTACAGTATTCTTATCATTGTATACATTTAAAGCTGGAATCTTTTTTTTATCATTAATATCTACAGAGATTTCTGTTTAAAACTTAAGTGTATTCCTCAAAGACTGTTTCCTAGACTGCATTCCTTTGATATAGATGTACCGTTCACTTCTGCAAGACAGTTTGAGTTCCTCTTTGAATACTTGTTTTACACTTGTGTGTATCAGTTTACTTAATTGGAATTGCTTATATGCTCACTGGAGTGAGGTCACTTGGGTGCACATTATTCTGTTCATCCTGGCACCTTAAAGCCTTGTCCATAATAGCACTTTCATACCATGCAGAGCTACTAGCCATACATTTTTTTGTTTTATAATACTTGCTATATTATGGTAGATTGGGCAAAAGTAAATCAAATTGTAGCTTCAGTGTCACCTGCTGTTTGTTTTTACTGATTACACTGCCAGTACAGTGGTCAAATGAAATATAATTTTCCTAATTTTTAATGGCTAAATCTGTGTCAACGCTTCATAATGATACTATGTTTGTGTGTTGTAAACATATCACTATTTTAGTGTTTCTTGACCATTACTGTAGAAAAGTGTGGTATTTTTTGTTTTTTTTTTTAGAGTTTTTAGAGAGAGACTGCAAATGGGCTATTTGCAAGAATTGCTTTTTAAAAACTGAATTTATTTAAAGGAATTTAATTTTTGTTGGACCTTTCTGATGGTGTCGGAATGTTGTTAGACCCAGACTGTTACCATATACACTACTGGGTGGTAATTCTAAAACATGTTGCTTAACAACGTGGTTCTTTGGGTTTTTAAAAATATATTTAAATTGCTAGTTGTATACAAGCTACTCATTTAATTTTTCATTAAAATAAAATATGAATGCTTCAAAAGATCATGTAAATTAAGATTAAGGGCCTCTCACTTAAAATGGCCTAACTCCGTTGACCTCATGGAGTTATTTCTGTTTTACTCTGGTGTAAGTGAGAAGACACTCGAGCTTAAGGGCTCTATGCTCTGATTGCCAGAAAAGGTGATTGTGTATTTCTGATAACCTATGTAGGCCTGAACACAGTTTCTGTACTTTATCTCTATTATGGATCACCTTGATCTACTCTCATTCTGTAGATCGAAATTGCTCATCTGGCCTTAGAGCAAACTGAATTTTTAGCGTCTCTTCTCCATCCCCCACTCCTCCAGCTGAAATTATTTTCTACTGTACAAATTCTGTTAATGTAAAAACTGTGTGAAGAAAAAGCAACAATTAATAAAACTTTACATTTCAGCCACCTGTACCTCAAGTTGAACAACACAATTCTGAAGTCCGTCTCCCTGAGCCAGACCAGCCATTAGAACAGCTTGCCTTTCATCCTGCCCCTCAGCAAACCTTGAAACTGGTATATGCAGCTCTTTGTGTTCAACCCTTGTTGCAAGTCTTTGTGCATTTACTTCATTCTTTGCCAGCACAATTTTGGGAGAGATCAGCTAATTATGATTTAATTTAACAAATAAGTATGTCTTAGCTAATCAGGCAGATATAGAAATGATTTCTCTGTATAATTTCTTAGCCATTTCCAGTTCTTGTTTATGAAGCTCTCTTTTTAATATTTGTACTTTTTTTTTTTTTATCTGAATGTATATTTCCCCCTGCTCCACCCCAAGTGGTAAATTTCTAAAATTAGTCTTGGGTATCTTGTAATAAATAGTTGTTTCAATAATAATTGGTGTTTAAAGCTCAAATGTACTATCTGCTGAAATAATTTAAGATAAAACATATAATAGGTTAAATCTTGGTTCCGTGGAAGTCAATGGGAGTTTTGCTACTGACTTGGACAGAGCCAGGATTTAACCCATAATATTTAACCTTCTGTCATTAATAATATCCAAAGGTTCGCTTTAATCCATGTAATAAAGGTAAGTAAATGGGTTAACATGTATTAGTAGGGATTATGTTTACTTAAGAAATAAGTGCCAGATTTTGTCACACGTGCATATCTCCAGGGAGTAAGTATACTCTGTAAAAACGTTTGTTCCTTGGTTGTTGGGCCTCAAGTAAATGAATTGGGAGCTGAGCAGAAAGATAGTTTTATTTTGAAGCTGCCTTATTATGAATTTCTTGCAAGGGTTCAAAGGGTTATGTGGACCCTTCTGAATGAGTTAACAATCAGTTCTCTGATGTTATGAGCAAAGGAGGAGCTGCTTCCGGGTGTGCCTTCCTGAGCAGTGTATTCAGATGGAGCAAACTTTCAACTCCTCCTTTAGCAGCTGCCATAGTATTTAGATGGTTGGTATTAAATCCACAATATTTGAAATTTGGTGGCTACTATATGAAAAGGCTTAAAATATTAGACAAAGTTTTAGGATTGTAAAATTTCTGATGAAACATTATCTGTAATATACTTTACAAACATGACCAATAGTATAACAGTCAGACAAGTAAGACAAAATCAATGCCAGATAAGTTTCCTGTGGATTTTTTTTTTTTTTTTTTCTAAATCTGATTTAGGAACTCATTAACACATGGATCTCTGCTGAAATCTTCCTGTGGTTCTTCAGTTTCTATCAGTAGTCGCATGTCAGGCATACACCATTAATACTATAGTAATATTGCTGTCTGCCCCACATGGTTTGGAGAGGCACTACATTAAATAGCTTCATGTTTTCCTAATTTTTACTTAGAGGTTATGTCATGCTATCAGGACAATTAAGATTGAAGTAATTTAGCAGGAGGCACTCTGAAGCTGAATGAACTGTTCCGTCCTTTTCTGCTTGTAAGACTGTCTGTATTTTTGACTTGAATTTCACTTTATCCTTTAAATGACTTGATTTATGGTATACTGTAGAGTAAAGTAAAATCCCTATCTCCGTTAACCTGTGCATTGTGCATCATCTTTACATATAGATTTTATTTAAGCAGATGTTAGGAATTTTTACATTCTACCCTTTGCTATATATTCATCTGATCCTTGGTTTTTATTACTGACTTCTTTGTCAGGTCAATTAATAATTTTTCTTCCCTACATTATACTTTTTTATATAAATGATGCTTAATTGATGTGTCCAGAAAGGAAGATCTTAGATCTTCATCTGGAGTCAAACAGAATAGTTTGTTACAGATGCATTTTATCTTTGATATATGCTATGAAAATTGGCAGTTGCATTCTGGATCATCATACTTGCATGAGTAAGGGCTATTTGTATGAGTAGTGGAGTACAGGGTGAGGTCCTAGGTCAGTCTGGAATATTATTTTTGTTTAAATCATGCATGTGGAACAGGGTGGGTCTATCATAGGTATTACAGAAATGAAATTCCTTTCACAGTATATTAATTTCCCTTTAATTGATTAAATTATGATCAGTACTTGTTCATTATATTTTATTCACATAACCTTTGCTAATTGAGTCTCCAAACCAAAATTGGCAAATTTGAAATATCCCTCAGAGGCGCAAACTATCTGTGCATTGAATGGTCGTTTTTTAATTAAAATTTACAAGAGTTTCAGGATGGGTAGTGAGACTGGTGTCCGACACATGCTGCTGTTTCTAGCTTGAGTTCTTACTGCCTTGTCCATTAACTCTTTGGAGACCAGACAAAACTCTGATCCCAGTCTGGCACTGGGATCTGCTAGTCTAGATATCTCCATCCATGTGGAGTCCTGTTAAAGTTATTCAGACTCTACAGAGGTGCAGAGCGTTATTCATATGTATTCTCATTAAAAACCTCATTTTTTGTTGGCATTTCTGAATTTGCCAGATTGTGAGTTAAGACCAGGAAATATGTTTGACTCTTTCAAAGATACTTTGCTAAGTGATACAGCTGGGGAAATGCTACCACATCATGGAAATCATAATGAACAATCTCTTCAAGATCTTTTTGATTTGGATGATTAAAATTTAGAAACTGATTTTAAGCCCATCACTAAAATGAGGCTAATGAAGTGACTGCTTTGCACTGTCCTGTCTCCTTTCCTAGGATGAGACTACCCATCTTATTTCTGAGCTGTCCACTCAGCTGAAACCGGAAGAGCCAAATGCAGAAGATGAACGGAAGAAGTGGGAGGAAGGCCGTATGGACTACATGGGGAAGGATGCTTTTGAACATATTAAAAAGAAATTGGATACATTTTTAAAGTAGACTCAATTGTAATGCAATATATTGACCAGCCACTGTTTGCATTTGTGGTGTACATGCAATCCCTGGGATATTTGTTATCTTCCTTTGATATTGAAGTTAAAATGGACCTCCTCTATTTTAAGAAAAAAATTGCAAACATAGCACCACTAATTTTTTAACTCTGGTGTGTGCCTCATATTGATTGTTGACCTAGAGTGCCTCATGAAATAGTAGTGCAGAAATTGTGACATCTCCACTTGATATCCCTGCATTAAGGAAAAAGTCCTATAGTATTCTGCAGTAATATCCAAAATAGTAGAACTGATAACATTAAACTTCCAGAGGATCCTTAGATTAATCTAGAGGATTTCCACCTTTAGAAAATGTTGCAAAACCTTTTTTATGAAAGCTTTTCCACTGGAACCAAAGTGACATTCACACCATCAACCATTCTACATAAGCTGACAAAGGGGAAAAGCCAAAGGAGGAAACCCTGGCTCCACTGAAATCAAAACTCCCGTTGACTTCAGTGGGGCTAGGCCTTCACCTGGATACTCCAAGAAGTCCACTTGCTCTTCTACTTTAGGTGGAAGGTGCTCAGGTACATAGCTAATGGGCAACGGTACAACTCTAAAATAGATGGTAATGGTGTTACTAGTTTCTTTTGGATCATTGCGATAAACTGCTACAGGATTTTTATATGTTACCTTAATCTGTATATTCAGGGTTTCTCATGTTTTATTATGTATTTTATTAGCTAAATGGTTGAGAGAGAAAAAAACACTGTATAGGCCTTCATAACTAACAGCTGTTCTGCCTCATTGTGGTGCTTGAAATGAATTTGTTTACCAGTGCATTTCACGAAGGCACTAAATCCATTAGATGGTACTTATCTATATTGCAGGCAGTTTGGGTGCATCTGAGACAGATAACTGATACCTATTTAATAAAACAGCTATTTATTAGCTATAAACTAAGGACCTATTTCCGGAAACCGATACAACTGTGTGTATAGTTACTGTCAGTGGGACTGTGATGTATTAACTATACTTGTGAGGGTACTCCTTTGCAGTTTTGGGCCTTTAGATGTAACTTTAATCGCGTTGTTAAATAAAAATAAATACATTTCAGAAGACTGAGAAACTTGACAGATTTTCTAATTTGGTAACTCTTGCATTTCAGCTTGAAACTTCAGCTCTGGTAATACCAGAGAGAGAAATTAGTTATACAACACTTGATGCGGGACTTCTGTAAACATTTTGGGTCATATTGTGTCACCAGTTTTTAAGTTGCAGAACTATCTAATGAAATCATTTGGGAACTCTACTTAAAAAAAAATCAATGCCATAATATATCGCTCCTTGGTAAGAGGAATGTACACAGAATTCTACTGAGGAAAAGAAAAGGTAGCTTTTATTTTTTACTTTTTTTTTCCCTCCAAAAGCCTGCACAAATTAATCCACTAGGAAAGCAGCAAGAGAATCCAAAGGAATGGAAGAAAAAAAACATTTTAAACCTTTTTTTTTTTTTTTTTTTAATGTGTCTGTAAGGAATTATTTTCATTTTCAAGAGTCTAACTACCTCCACTTTTATCCAGCTTGTCTCTTATTTACTCTTATTGAAGTGATTTGGATGTTTAAGAGAATTCTCAGTTTTATGAGGAATATTGCCAATGTGACCTAAACAGTTTGAAGATTGTTTAAATTGAAAGACCCTTTTAAAAAAAAAAAAAAAAAAAAAAAAAAAGAGAAACCTCCTTTTTTGTGCAGATACATTTTGTGCAGTTACTACTATATTTTACTGGGCATGTTAATTAGATGATGGGGGAAATTACTGACTTAAAGGGAAAATCAGTAATTCTAAAAGATTTTCAGAGTAGGTTCATTACTGTTAAGTATTAAAGTGAAAGGAGGGATCAGGGAGCTAGGATGTGAATTTGCACCCTGTGGTGGTTATGCAGTATTTTACCAAGAAAACTAGATTAATAGGCATGTCTGATGTATCACAATAACATGTACTAAATGAGAAATTCATCTTTAATATTTAGAATGAAATCTGTGTTTTTTCTGGCTGGAGTTTAGAAAGGATTTGGTCCAGTTGTTGATGTTTTTCCCCCCCCAACTGGTTGGAACAGTGGGGAGGATGAGCTCCATGAGGAGGATGACCTCAGGAAGAATAGTGCACAGGGAAGAAATTTGAGTCACTGGTACTTGGCCTCCTTAGACTAGTTGTGTTCTTTTGAAACATGTCAGGCATGATTTTCAAAAGTGCTCCTACATGCTTAAATAGGACAGGAATAGCTGAATAGTTGCTTTTGAAAACACACCCACATTGTCCTAATGCACCTGGCAGTGGCAAATTCTGCTCATGTTAAGTTAATGGTTCAAAGCAATTTCTGTGATTACATACCAAGTACAGAGGAGGGATGAGGTGGTGATGATCTGGGAACCAAATATTCAATGGCAGACTGCAACTATTGTGAATTTGAAAGAGGCTGGACACACCTCATGGAGTGAGAGTTGAACAATATATTTTTAGAGCAAGTTTGACTGTGGGAATGTAGTGTGAATTTGTTTTGTAGCTGTGGTCTGAATCTCCACCAAGTTTTGTGAATTTTAACCTATCTATAACACTGATGTTTGTTAGGCTCTGCTTATTATATTAACAACTTCATGATATTTTGTATAGTCACTTGTTACCAATGTTGCTGAAGTTCTACACTGCCATCTAAATAAGGATCAGGGCTCATATCCGTAAGTACAGAATCAAACAGTGAAACTTACCACAGAGCAGAAGGCTCACCCAAGTCTCTACATACCACTTAAGTTCCTAACGTGTTTAAGTGATGAATAGGTCTTTGCACTAAGGTGAATGTCACACACACAAATCAGAAAGGGAAAAAGGCTTGAAGTAATCATGTCCATCACATGGCTGGTGCAGGATTACAGTTCAAATTTCCATTGTGGCTGGGGAGTATCATTCTTGAGTGACTGGTTACTTTTAAATATGTTTGTTATTAAATTGGTACCTGGTGAACAGTATTTGCAAACATAAGCTATGTTTGTCTGCTTAGGGATAGCTAGTAGGAATAAAGTTTTTTCTCCAATCACTACTCATGGACTAATTAAGTTTCCGCTCATTGTTTGGACTTACATTTTATAGAAAAAAATTGTTTCCCTTTTATTTGTTTTTTTCCCCCATGGCGACATGACTGAATATATTCTTTTCACATGAGAATGTTGTTTAGTTGCAAGTTGTCATCACGTTTTGTTTCAAGGAAAACTCGAGAGTGGTTATTTGTTAGAGCTGAGTACACATTTACTAAATTTTAGTGAATTTTCAAAAAGCGTATTGAAATATAGTTGCCAGTATCTATCTCAGTGGGAATCTACCATTTTATTGATTCATCTCAGCAGAGTGTCTGCTTTGATGTGGGAGATTCAAGTAGGATTTTTCTGCAAGAGGCATTGGTGTAGTCACAGAGTAAACTTCAGGGGTGGATTTTCCCCTGAACAACAGATCTTTTCTCAATGTCAGTTAGGAAGGGCTGTATATACCTACCACTTGTCTCTGCTGGACATATTGTAATAATGACAAGGATATAGAGATAAATGACTGGCATAAAGAGCTCCTACTGTCAGGGGCAGCTCTGTTTTTTGCTGCCCCAAGCACGGCAGTCAGGCAGCCTTCGGCGGCATGCCTGCGGGCGGTCCGCTGGTTACGCGGATTCGGCGGCGTGTCTGGGGGTGATCTGCTGGTCCCGTGCCTTTGGCGTGCCCGCCGCTGAAGCCGCAGGACCGGCGGACCTCCCGCAGGCATGCCGCCGAAGGCTGCCTGACTGCCACCTTCACAGCGACCGGCAGACTGCCCCCCGTGGCTTGCCGCCCCAGGCATGCTCTTGCTGTGCTGGTGCCTGGAGCCGCCCCAGCCTACTGTCCAATCTACGTCAAGAATAGATGAGCAATTAATGGGGTTTTGAAAGGCTATATTAAAATAAAGCTCTCAAGGGGCTATTTGTGGGAGAGCGTCCCTCTTTCACTTAAAAGGGACATCTTTATTTAATTAAAACCTGCTCATCTGTCTCTCACCTCACATGTTTAAGATCAAAAGAATTAATCCCAGCTAGAATCCGTAATTCTCACTTGCAGTGTAACCATCAATTGGGTGGCTTAGTAGTTAGGATCTGGTGTGGGTGGGCCACAAGTGGAGAACACTGCAGGTGATTTCCCCAGTACCATAGTAATAACACTGTGTAGCGCTATCCCTGTAATATCTCTTGCATCCGTTTCCTAACATCATGCTCGAAGGCTTTCAGTTTGAATATTCTTGGAAAGTAGGAAGACTGTTTAACCTCATGCCAGGGCACTCCCTCCTGTATTTTGCTGTGAATTTTACGTCTATTTTGGTTTGCAAAGCTGGAGCATAAAAATATCTAATTCTTATTTCCACTGGTATTCTGTTAAGTAATAGGGACTTGTACTATTAACGGTGGTTGGTCTTATTTACAAGCCTCAGGCAGGGCCGCTGTTAGAGGGTAGCAAGCAAGGCAATTGCCCGGGGCCCCACTCCACAGGGGACGCCTGTGTGGCAGGCTTGGGCTTCAGCCCTGTGCAACGGGGCTCAGGCTTTGGATTTCTGCAACGTTTCTGAAGCCAATGTGTGAGCAAGTAAGGGAGGTGGGTGAGGGGCCCACTCCTTAGTTTCTGCCTGGGCCCCAGCAAATCTAACACCATCAATGGCCTCAGGAAAGATGTGTTGGTTCAGTAGGAAAATGTCTGCAATGTACCTATTTTTTAACAGATCTGATTATCTTGTCAATTCCTCTACTGAGCTGAAATTATAATTTATCCCATCTCAAATTCTTGTGATTTTTTGCAAATACACCTCCACCTCGATATAACGCTGTTCTCGGGAGCTAAAAAATCTTACCGCGTTATAGGTGAAACCGCGTTATATTGAACTTGCTTTGATCTGCTGGAGTGCGCAGCCCCGCCGCCCCGGAGCACTGCTTTACCGGGTTATATCCGAATTCTTGTTGTATCGGGTCGTGTTATATCAGGGTAGAGGTGTACAATCAATGAGAAGATTT